AAGTTTGTTACTTCCCGATCGTTTTCTATCCGGTGATGTCACGTCGACGAGTGTCAAAGGAAGAAGAAAACGAACGAGTGATCGATATACGGTTCGGTCACTCGTTATGGTCCGCGAACCAGTTGCCAGCGCAACGGGGTTGATATATTACGTTCGTAAACAGAATTTTTCCGGACTAAAGTAGCGTCGAAGCTTTTGAGATTGTGCCACGAGATTCTTGAACGGGAGCGTAAGTTGGATAAAGGGCATGAGGACAGGACCGATCGGCAAGTAGATCGGAGCAGTTAGATCGAGAGAAGCCCGAAGCGAGGGCACGTATATTGTGAAAGGTGGACATGGGCGGTGGTCCGTGGCAGTCTCCACGTATCAGGTATGCGTAACGTGCAAGTCCAACACGAGACACACTTTAGGACCGAGTATAAATAAATAGTCGCGTATAGAACCGGGATGTCGGTTCAACGATTCCTGTTATACCCACACGATCCAGTCCCTGGTAATCCCCATTGTTGTGCTTCGACGCCTGTTCCCCCTTCAGGGTCCCGTTCTCCACGCGAAGCAAAGAGAATCGACAGTGTGACAGTTCGAAGGTTGATGCGAGTTGACAATACTCGCATACAGGGTGTCCCGCAGCTGCTGGCACAACCCACTAGAAAGTGATTGAAAAATGAATGAAAGAGTTTTCGAGAAAATCGAGCTTGTTGAAAATTTATCGAGTATACACTTGATATTCTACGCGCGGAAATAAGCGGAAATTGTCTCGCTGAAGGCGGCATATTTCAAGAAAATAAATTTCGAATATGTCTCGTGAAAAATTGGTTTGCTACTTGATGAATTTAAACGAATTTAAGCTCGATTCCATCGAAGACGAAGCGACTTTTCAATGGAAAAAAATTTTTTTTTCTTTCATTCTTGATCTCGTTCTTCACATCAGTTACGGGACACCCTGCATGTTCGAGTATAAAGCTTGTTGTACACGTGAATAGTGCTTGAAAATTAATTGACAATACACGTGCCTGATATGTAGATGTCGATTTTTGGCTTGCGAGTTAGGCCTGTAGATTAGGCTTGTTCTTCTGCATGAATAGATCAATTGCGGCCATCAAATGCCAATACAGGATCTGTTTGAACTGCTCGTGATTATTTCTAGCAAGTATATTTTCTCTGACACGAGGTATGTTGGACCAACTTATGTACGTGATGGAAACGTAGGCGTTCGCAGGTCAATCAGAAAAGGCTAGATCGACTGTTTCATGATTGGAGTTGTTGGCCAGTATTTTTTTTTTTTTTTGGTGAAGTTGTTTCGATTTTGCACCTACGTTGGACATTACACGCAAGGTTACGCGAAAGGTTCGATCGCATCTGTAATCAATCATAAACTTCAAGCTGTCTTTTAACCGACAGAAAATAATTCATTTTACAATCTATCCGTGCTTAGTTCTACGAAGGTGTACGAAGTACGATGTTTCTTTCGTGTCAATCAGCAAAATTAACAAAACTTTGCCTCTTCCGATTATGTTAACACTAAAATCACTTTATGTAACGACAACAGGGGAATAATAATATTCTTTAATAAAAAAAATTATGAAAATTTCTAAAATCTTGTAAGATCCTGCGAACTATCAACCGATAAATTTCCTACCATATCTCCAACATTAAGTCTTCATTCCCTTAACCTCATTCGCTTATTTCATTATTCATTTCGATCGAGATGTGTACGAGATTAAAGATGACTAATCGATTATTAACTTGCATCTAGCTAAATTATAGTTAATTATATATTTAGCCATGGATAAATAAGGTTGAGAAGCAATTAAAGGTATATCCGCGTATTTCATTCCAATACGTTACAATTGCGTTAAACAGCGAGGATGATTTATTTCCACGGCGCATAGAAATTGATCTTTTTCATACATCCTTGCATTTTTTATGTATCATGCTTCCAAGTACGTTTCATACATCGAAGAACATTTCCACGTTTTGTTACATATATATCGCTGTTCGATCAATTTCAATTAATTTTTCCGATGACTAAGTGCAGCTCGAGGAGAAACTGCTCGACTCTTTCGAAACTCTTGAATATGCAGCAACATTGATACAACTGTCCTTGTCAAACATGTAACAATCCAACAGTCGACAATTTGCAAGGTAATGAAGGCTAGATAACGTTAGAAATCGAAAAAGACACCGAGGCATTGTGAAATTTCTTCTGACAGAAATACAATTTTACGAACATTAACGAAATGCGTACTTTTTCTCAATCTGCGAAAAAATTCGTCTTTTCTTCTGTTTTTTTCTTTTTTTTTTTTTTTTTTTTTTTNTTTTTTTCTCGAGAAAGTAATACACAAGCCGATCGAGAGCAAACGTTGAAGAGAAACCTGGGTGGTGTGCGACGAGCGCGGAACAGCGGAAAGAAAAGAAAGTTAGACAGCCTCGAATTTCGTGTCAGAACGGTGCTCTTTGCAATTTCATAACTGCCGCGTAACGACCGCAGCTAGCGATTATAGATCAACGTCGATTACAGAAGCGCGTTGCGACAACCATGAAGCGGCGAAGCTCGCGACACGACGCGGTAAAGCGATCAGGTCGACGACGAACTCCACTTCCGAATGCTTATACGGCGATCGTCGACCGATTTTTGCGAGAAAAACAACCGGAAATTGACTCGTAACTGTCCAATCTGCCGGAAGGGGTGGAATAATTTTCATTCGTTGAATAGTAGAAACCGATAGTCCACTTTTTTTTTTAAAGAATTGTTTCCTCTTAAATATAAACATAATCTTGAATTATTAACACTAGAACTACCACAGCGGACCAATTTATAATTCTTTAGAGTAATTTTGCGGATGTTACATTTTTTTAAAAATTCGATTGGCTTTTGTAAAACATATGAATAAAAGTTCGTGTTCACTATCGTATTATTAATCTTTTCCTATTCCTTGCATTCCAATTTTTTTGACGCAATTTTTATATTTTAGTCCTCGGTAGTTCTAGTGTTAAATCTTAAATATAAATATAATTTTAAATTAAATTAAATATAATTGATATTTAAAATAAATATTTGTATTCGTGAAACTAGATAGATAAATTTATAATGTTACAGGCAGAAAATAGATTTATAAAAGAAAAGAAGTGATATCTCGTGCAAAATTATCTCATCCAGACTGTCCAAATTAGATGGCCCAGATAAAAAATACATTTTTTGAGCTGAATTTCTAGTTTATTATTCAACTGTCTTAGGCCTGTCTCATTCGTATTAAATATACTCTATTTGATATAAATTTCAAATTTTCCCTCATTTTCCATATTTAGCAACGAAGGTGATCCTAAAGTTTAGTTAGTTATTTAAATAATTATTTATGGCCATTATATTATCATTTTGAACTGACACCTACGGTCCCTAGTTTGTCCATAATCCTCTGTTAGATTTTCTTTCACATTCAATTGGCATGATTCTCTAGAAAAATATTTACCAACTATTATATACACAATTTCACGAGTCAATTCTATATCGTTAAGAAAGTTTGAAAATTTTTTTAACTTATAAAATGACCTTATAATCTATATTTTTTAAGAAAGGAAATTTCAAGAGATATTAGATCATATCCTTTTAAGTGTTATGAATGTAAATGTACATAAGACCTATATAATGTCTTGTAACCTATATTTTTTAAGAAAGGAAATTTCAAGAAACATCGGATCGTATCTCTATCTATTATCTAAATTCAAATATACACAGAAAATATGCAAAATGTTCCACCGAGCGACATCAATATATCGAGTATTATCCAGGATATGAGTCTTTCGTACGATTTTCTTTGTACCTCGAATTTACGACCGAGAACGAGCGAGTTGCAACACCTTGGAACGACAGTATTGTGCACGGTTGTCCTCCTTGATTCTTAAACAGCAGAAGGAAATAAAAATTGGCCGGGGAACGTAGCGGGAGAGGTTCACCTACAGGTGCTCCGGATAATTGCACGATTTGTCCGATGTTCGAGAAGCGTGGATGAAATTCCTGGGCGTGACGACAGCTTTCCTTGCCAGTACAAATGACTTCCCGTGGTATGTGCGCCTGTATCACCTATCTATCTCCTAGTCATCTGAAATTTTACCACCCCCTCTCTGTCCATTGACAGTTTAGGCAGTTGTGCGTGCATGCAAGGTTGACACATATTGTCGAAACAGGTTCAGGTTTCCGTTACCGTTGATGATCGAATATTGCGAAACGTTTCCCTCGATTGGAAAGTTTCGGCACATCGCGTTGCATTTCGAAAGCAAGTAATCAATTATTTTAAAGAGAGAAACGTGCTGTTTGAGAAAAAGCGCGCTGAAATTGAATTTATAAGTTATAAGCGTGTTCACGTTTTTAATTCCACGGTTGTAAAACAAGTTGCTTCGTATTTATTTCATTTTTATATTATTTAAACAATCATATATGTATAATAGGAAATTTGATTTGGAAAGTATTTAATTATTTATTTAAGTATTAATATTTATATAATATTAATATTATAAAATTATTATATTATAATAAATATAATTATAATTATATATTATAATAAATAATATTAATTATTTGTTTAAGTATTTAATAGCACAGAGATCTCTCATCAAAAAAAAAGAAAGAAAAAAGAATTTTGCAAAAGCGAACAATATTTTATATATATATATATATATATATATAATAGGAAATTTGATTTCGAAAGTATTTAATTATTTATTTAAGTATTTAATAGCACAGAGATCCCTCATCGAAAAAAAAAAAGAAAGAAAAAAGAATTTTGCGAAAGCGAATAATATTTTATACATATATATATATATAATAGGAAATTTGATTTCGAAAGTATTTAATTATTTATTTAAGTATTATTATTTATACAATATTAATATTATAAAATTATTATGTTATAATATTATAAATAATATTAATTATTTATTTAAGTATTTAATAGGACAGAGATAAAAAAAAAAACAGGAAAGAATTTTGCGGAAGCGAACAATATTTTTGCAAAAGTTGTTTTATTACACGATACAGAGTAGATAACATAAAACAATGAAACTGATACACAAAATAATATTAGTATCCCTAACATATACACACACACACACACATATGTATATAACATATATATGTAATTGCATCTTCTTCCATGTCCAAACAAACAAATTTAGAAATTCCTTAGCCACCATAAACGTCCGTATCTACTCTATTGTCATTACACTATCCTACGACTATCCTACGTCCGATTCTACGTGTTTCCAATCTTTGTACGCGGGAACGCAATCAATTGTGGCCAACGCAATGCACTTGCGAATTCTACGGAAAAGGAAACCAGCCAGATAGAATGCAAATGTCGCGCCATCGATTGTTCACCACCGAGGAATCTCGCGGGTGAACATAATCGCGACGCACGAAGGTGGTTCGCCTACGTTCGTTCGCTCGCTCGCTCGCATCGTTCGATAGCCATCTGAAGGCCGCACCGTTAGTTATGCCAACTATCTGGCGACATTTTTTACCAACGTGTCAAGTTCAATTCAGCCACAGCTTTCGTTCGTGTGTTTCACGCGACAGGATGATGATTAACGCAGGACTGGAATCGCGAATTTTTTGCATAACTCGCGAATTGTTTTCATTCCGGTGTTGGGCGAGTCCGCGAAGACGGAAGAACGCGGTTGTTGTTCGACATAAGTATGATATGTACATAAAACCTCCAATTCTCGCGAGCTTTTTGCTTTTTATTTATTTTTTTATTTTATTCTACAGGCGCGAGATAAGAAAATTGACAGTCTAGAGACTCTGACGCTGTTAACCAGTTTCTTTAGCTCGTCTTTAAGAATCTTCGATGTTACGATGATTTTACAACAATTGATACTAAACCTTTGAACTCGATTTGTTTTCAATATTGTACTTATTTTAAAGTAAATTGGGCAAATTAGTGCATAATAACCATTATAAACGTTCAACAAATGGTTATTAAGTGAGAATGTCACACAGAGTAAATTTGTATTGTCATCTCTAGCACTGACGTACGAGTTTTATAGTAAATTTTCCAGCATAATATACGAGTTCAAAGGGTTCGAAATCAAACAATAAAGAATAGATTTAGACCACACTGATCGATCTTCCAGTCATTTGCATCATGATCTTAGCCAGAATTAGAGGGTTGGACGATTAAAAGCCAAAGTTTCCTTTCTATCGTCGAATGATACACGCGTGATGGATAATGTAATTGAGACATGATACATCGGACGTTTGAGGTGACACGGAGAAACGACTAAATAAACGAGACACGTAAACGAGTGAGACAATGAGCCATGGAAGTTAGAAACTAGAGAGGTAGAGAGAATAGGTAAAAAAAAGAACTGGTAGAGAAAGAGGTAGAAAAGGGAGAAGGAGGTAGAGTTTGACAAAGGAACTACTTTCAAGGAGTCTAACTGGACATGCCACGTTGGAGTATTATAGCCAAGAACGGAAGTTAAGAAAGAGCGAGAGTATCGCGTGGAATATTAAAGAGTGTGTCTTCCTGAATATACCATCTCGTGCTCTCCACATTATTATCTCAAGCGATTCGACGCCAGATTGAGACACAACTTCACAATCGAATCAGCATCCTGAAGCTATCGCTAGCACGAAAGTTGGACTGATTCGCGCGAACATTAGAGGAATTTATCAACGATCGAAAATCAGTCGGAGAATGTTGCAAAATTTCCGTGAAACGACAGAAGATGAATTACGCTATACAGATACACCATCGTTCAAACTAACATTCGAAGACACGAGAAATTTAAGCTTGAACCTTCGTTATTCTAGTTAAAAAGAAAAAAAAAGATGGAAATTTCCAAACTTCCAAGTTTCAACGTCGTTTAAATTTCATCCGTCCTTCGAATGTCAACCATGTTCGAACGTTTAACCAAAGAGGAAAAGAAAATAAAAATAACGTTAACAGCGTGGTTACCAAGAAACAAAAAAAAAAAAAAAAAAAAAAAAAAAAAGACGAAACCGAATTCAATGGGAATGAACGAACTGGCCCGAAACTACAATCGCTGCAACTACTACGTTCGGTACGGATAACGCTAACGATATTTACACAGGGTTGACGAGATCGATGGTCGTCTCTATCGTTTGTAGTTAACCGTGTAAGAGGCTAAACCGGCGTTCGGGTCAACGGGTGCCGGACGACCTTGGATCCCGCTTTGAATCGGCGCGGCTGGGTACGCGGATCGTTGCTGCTGCTGCTGATATTGCGGTTGATACTGCGATCGGTACTGCGGTCGATACTCTGGTTGATACTGCGGCTTCGGTTGGTACTGCACTTGCGTCGGATACCTGGAAAGCCGAGGATTCCCCTGATTAATTTCCACTGTTTGACTCATGAAGCGAGAGTGTAAGCTGCCAAGTTGTGCAAGTCACGTTCGCCTGCGTTCGCTTTCGAGTGAGATTCACGTGACATTTGCGTGGCTCACCGCAGGAAATCACCTCTCGAAACGTTTGAAGTCAACGAAAAATTGTAGAAACTGTGGTTTCTCAGCGAGCAGGTTCTCTTATACGTGGTCACGTGTCATTGATTAATTAATTAATTAGCAGTTCAGAACGATTCGAAAGCAAACTGGGTGGGAGCAAACTATAGACGTTCACAGTAAATAAGTGAAGATTAATATTCGGAAATTGAATATTGAAACTTTGTTATAATTTTGTAAAAAGAAATCGTACGATAATGAGCTCGGATTCAATTTTGAACCTTAAAGTCTTTACTTTCAAAATACACTACTTATTTTAGTTTAGAATATTTTCAACAGGTGACAAGGTCAGGACATTATTCTCCTTGAAAATGTCACATGTAGTATGTAAAAACATTAAAAAAATTTATTTTCATGACTGAATCTACAATAGATACAGAGATAAATTATCGTAAAATATCTCCTTAACCATTTGGTTTAAGACCAATGTGGCTTTCTCACTTGGAATTTAATCTTCTTTCGATTAAAAGAACTAAGGAAAATTGATATGCCATGTTTTGCCTCCCTCAAGACCATACAACTTTTATATTAAACAACTTTTCATTGGACACGTATAATTTAAAAAGTTATTTCAGGCGTGCAACTTATGTGAATCATACTTTTTGAGTATTAATGGAAGTCATTGCATGTACACACGTATATATATTTAACCTCTTGCGCTGAAATGACGTGCCACGCACGTCGAGTATTTTTCGTTCCAAATTGCAACATTTTCTCAGTTTTAAGTATATTTAAGTATAATCCAGGCAAAACAAATAATAAATTTATTATTACTTGTCCAGTCATAATTTCTATCCAGTCATATCATACCGACGAGTTCGAAAAGAAAGCGACGAATTATTGTATATGCGGTATATTCAGTCACTCGTTATGGTCCGCGAACCAGTTGCCAGAGCAAGAGGTTAGGATTCCAAAAATCCATAGTAAAGTACACAAAGAAGAAAAACAGAGCTTTTGCTACAACGCCCAAATAGATCTCGAAGAGCTATAAAATTACACAAACTATACTTCACAAGGGCAAAGAGGTATCTAACTTCAACGAGAATGATGAATTTTTTACCTGGGTGGATTGTAGATGGGCGCGGGAATTGGCCGCGGTTGATTCTGGGCCAAAGGTCGACGAGCGACAGGATCGTATCGTTCTCCGTTGGTGTATCGAGGATCCGTGTAATAAACAGATGGATCCTCTCTGTATTGGCCGTCGTCCTCGGGTTGGTTAGGATTCGCGATGCTGTTACCAGTCAAGGTTGGCGGCGGCACGTTTATCCCAGGACCTGCTGGCTCGAATCCGCGCCTCGACGCTCCGTACTCGACCTCTCGAACATTCCCGGTATCGTCCACGAACCCGTACTTCCCGTACACCTCGCCAGTCGGGTATTTCGATTCGATCTTGTAAGAACCATCCGCTGCCTCGTACCCGTAACTGTAGCTACCGTCCTCATTGTGTCTGCTCGCCAGTGAATGCAATCAATTAGTATCTTCTAGGCATCTTAATTATTTGAAATAATGCGTATATTATTATTAGTATATCATCATATTGCAACAATAATTTTCATTATTAATATTATTAATTTAACATTACTATTATTATTGTATCATTATATTACAATATTATGATATTATTATATTATCATATTGCAATAATAATTTTTATTATTAATATTATTAATTTAATATCACTATTATTATTATATTATTATATATTATTATATTATATTATTATATTGCAATAATAATTTTTATTATTAACATTATTAATTTAATATCACTATTATTATTGTATCATTATATTACAATATTACAATATTATAATATTATTATATTGTTATATTGTAACAATAATTTTCATTATTTATATTATTAGTATTACTATTATTATTATGTCATTATATTACAATATTATAATATTATTATATTATCATATTGCAATAATAATTTTCATTATTAATATTATTAATTTAATATTACTATTATTATTATTATATCATTATATTACTATATTATAATATTATTATATTATTATATTGTAACAATAATTTTCATTATTAATATTATTAATTTAATATTACTATTATTATTATGTCATTACGTTATAATATTATTATAATATTATATAATAATAATTTCAAATTTTTATTATATAATAATCATTATTATATAATAATAATTTTTATTATCAATATTATTATTATATATTGTAATAATAATTTTAGTTATTTTAAATACTTTACCATAATAGTTTAGATATTTAGATTTACCACATACCGCGAGACTTCAAAATACTTGAAACGTCGAGCAACCATTTCGTTTCAGTCACGCGCGAATCGCGTCCTATGAAAAATTACGAAAATTGCACGAAAACTAGCGCAATCGTCTGTTGCGCAGCGACAGTCGTCTATCCCTATTGCAGAAATGAATAGAAACACGAGTTCGACCTTGAAATTTCAGATAAACGGTTTTTACGAAACTGTTTGAGGTAATAGCCCACCTTGAGAGTTGCACGAGGTTTCTACGATTGTACATTGGCTTGCAATCTGTTCGTCTAAGATCAGGGGTGGCCAACCGTGGCGCAATGCGCCACTGAATCATTTCATGATTTCCGATGGCGCACAGAGCAAGTGATTTCGAGTAAGAGTAACATATTATTATTATTATTTATTGGAGTAAATAATTTTATCCTTCTTTTCTAATGTTCATTATTTATAAACATGTTGCTGTCGGTTGAAGTAATTTAGTCAAAGCTCATCGAAGCTCGCTTGAGAAAAAATTGCCCACCCCTGATCTAGATCGTCGTGATTTTACAAAAATGTAGAAACCCACGTTGCGGTGGCGTAATTTTAATTAAAATGATCCATCAGGGTAATTAGAAAAAGATTAACTTCGATTTTTTAGCAACCTTTCGCTCATTAAATTTTATAGTATATTTCGCGTTTCGCGAAACTTATTGCACGTTAACTTCCTTCTTAAGTGCCTTGGGTCTGGTAGGTTTTTGTCGATTCGATTGCAGCCGAGAGATAAAGAAACAGGGCGAAAACTACGTTCGACGTATCGTCACGTTTGGTTGGTTCAAATCTATGCGCGTGACACAACGAAACAGTACTCACTTATTTATCTGCTTCAAAATGGGCACCGGCGTGGTCACCGGGTACCGATTGTCCTGGGCGAGCGCAAGGCCGATGCAAGACAAGAGAAACAGCACCTGGCGACACACAAGTTTGCATGAAATCGCTGGCATTCGCGAATCACTTTCCAATAACCTCGCGCAGAGTGGAAAACCCTGGTGTCGAGATTGCGCAGTTTAAAATGCAGCTCTGAATTATTTTCACTGATTCGAAATCTCACACGTCAAATTTATTTCTCGAGCGAAGGAACTTTATTATGAAATCTGTAGCTACTTAGTCAAAAACAGAAAAAAAAAAAAAATTGAAGACAAATAAGAAGAAAAATAAAATAAGGAGGGATTTGTACTTTATAAAAGTAATGAGAGAGAGAGAGAGAGAGAGAGAGAGCGCTTTGTTAAAGCGTTAGAAAGGCAGAGGCGTGGAATCGGATATTTTATCTTCGTAGGTTCATCGATGAAAATGTGAATCGCTAACAATTGCAGTTTGAACCTAACCTAAATCAAATATTTCCCTACGTTGCATTTGACACCGAACGTTTGTTATAAAATGCAAGATCACTTTACAAATTTAAAATTACAGCAAGGGTGAAACGAAAGTTTTACTAGCTGTTAATTTCTCTCGGTGTTCAACTGTGCGACTTCTCCTCGCTATTACTCTACAATTATATAAAAAGTGTCCATGCTTGTTGGCCCCCGTTGTAACAAAGAGCGAAAGCCAGCGTGTTTAAACGAGCCATCAAGCCATGAACAACACATCAAAGTGATTTATGAAGCGACGTTAAATGGAAAGAAACATCAGAAGATATGCTGTTGCTAATTACAAAACTACACTACCGATCGGATTAGCGCCACATTTCACACATTAAGTACTTAAATAAACGTCTAGATCTACAGAAACGAAAGAAAAGGAGTAGAAAATTTTTACGAAACAGGTAGACCACTGCAGGCATTATTTTTTTTTTTTTACGACAAAGAAACACAAACAGTGCGAACAACCAGCGTTAAATCACCAGCGCAGTGGAATCGAGCAACTGAAAACACTGACCCTGATCCGTTCGACTAATTGAAAACAAAGGAAAGCACCGATGACCGCGACGGTCCCGAGAACATTTTCTCTCGATAAACAACGAAACACTGATGACGGAAAGGAGAACACTGATGGACAAGCGTGGAATACTCACGGGAAGACGCATGTCTCGCAGCTGATGAGGCAGAGGCGATTGTGTTATAGGTTCGGTGTTACACCGGCCGCGAGTCAACTTATATAGGTACCGTTCGGGAGCGGCGGGGCCCGCCCATGGGCCCGACCACCGCCTCAACCTCGTCGCGATCTAAGTACCAGGGTTCACCGCACCGCAGCACGACTTTGAAAATTTCTAACGTGCCAATTTTCATTCACCGCCGAGCGTGACGCGTCTCCGGGTTTTTCGTCTCAGCGGGCGATCCTCGTTGCATAAACTCGCACGCAGGGGAAATCGCGACTATCGGACACAATCCCCCGTGTTTCGCAACACGGCGACTCGAGGAAATGTGAATTTCCAAAAATTTCAATTTCGAGTCAGAAATTTTTTTTGTCATTTATTCTAGTTTCGTTCGTTTGTACAATGACATTCGCGAGTCGTTGAAACTTGACCGAAAGAGACTTCGCGATATTATACCATGTTGAGTCATCGCATTTTTTAGGATTTTTTTATATTTTTCGAAAAGACTGTGAAATTTTCTTACGTCATGGATACTTTTTAGGTAAGTGTGCAGTGTGTTTTCGGACAGTTTTTATTCTTCTATCACATTTACTTACGTCGTTGTTAATATTCGTAGATGATCGATAATTCAGTAAGTCTTTTTACGATTACGCGACTTTATTAACGAATTTTATTATATTTCTGTGCGAATCTTGATATTCTTTTTGGTTTCGTAGACTCGATAAAGATACTGATTATAATTTGGTTCCGGATTGAAGTTTTACGGTCAATTTCGTATTTAGATACAACGTTTATAATTTAAATGAAAATTGACGGTAATAGCAGAGAAACTTAAAATATATAATACAATAAAATATATATTTTATCATAAACTAAATTAATATTATATTTCACTATAAACTTAAAATATATATTTTGTGATTTAAAAAAAAATCAAAATCTACATTTATATAAATATATTACAATTATTTTTTCCGAATTTTTAGACAAATACCCTACTCGGTGATTATAATCAATCACTTGTAACTGCTGTGGAGGGTTGATTTGCAAAGAATGAATTCAACATTCCATCATATCGTTTTCTCGTCGTTTGTTATAATATTCTTAATAAGCCGACGGATATCTATGATCGCAAATGCATTCGTGCGAAAGCGCGAGCTGTTGGCTAAATATGCTCGTATCACGTTCGCACAAACTGGATTCTGCAAGGTGATCTTCTACGGGGGAAGCGTATTTTTCGCAAGGACGTTGAGTGTGATCTTCTCTCTTCAAAAATGAATCGCTCACCGCTCGTGGATAATACTTCGTATAATCGTTCCTTTGCGAACGGTTAATTCTTCGTAAAATATGTTAATTAATCGAAATTAATCGAATTAATTCTCGATTAATTCTTCGAAAAATATACGAAAATTATGGAAAGGAGAATGTGTTTCTGGAGAATGTTGTTCAAAACTGGGCGAGAAGGAAGCGTTACCGTTGTAATTGCCCAAACGACCGGTTAACCGAGAACTCCGAGAACTTCTTGACATTTATCGAGACTGTATTAAGGGCATTGTAATATGCCTGTATATTTACGCCCCTTTGGCTATCTTGCAACTCGAGCGGCCGCTTCGTGAGAATCAATTTCTGTGGAAATAGCTTTCACGCTTTAATATTCTAAACTGTGCTCAAATTACTAATATATACAGGGTGTTTCGTAACTTGCGGAGTTGATTGTACGCCTAAAAATAATGAAAAAAAGTCACATAAATATATGTCCTATCTGTCTTCGCTTATGAGATATAATGAATTTTCTGTTTTAATTACTTTTATAAAATGACCACCTTGCATTTGAAGACAAGCCTGCTCGAAATGACCACCTTGCATTTGAAGACAAGCCTGCACGCGTGTTGTCATTCATCTGATTACTCTCTCTATCATTCCTGGTGTTTCTCGAATTTGTCGGAAGCCTTGTTCTATTCTATTTCGTAGTATTTCGGCATTATCAGTCGATGTTGCGTATACGATAGATTTTAAATGTCCCCATAAATGAAAATCTAATGGATTCAAATCCGGAGAACGAGCAGGCCAATCCATTTATTTGCAAAGTGTTGATTTAAAAATTGCCTAGCCACTCGGCTAAAATGCTGCGGAGCTCCATCATGCATAAACCGCATACGAATAATCTAATATCGACTGGAGCTTCCTCTAATATTTCGTGTAAACGTGTGCTCAAAAAATCAACGTACTTTGTGTCTGTTAGTTTCCCACTAAGAAAAAAAGGTTTTAAATTAAAAATTTATCAATTATTCCTGCCCATACGTTTAAACTAAACTGGTGTTGATGTCTTGAACGCACAATAACATGTGGGTTTTCTTCATCCCAATTATGATTATTATGAAAATTGAATATACCATCCCTGGTAAAACTAGCTTACTAAAGTTTGCTCTGTTTATAAAATTCATTATATCTCGTAAACGAAGACAAATAGGATATATATTTATATAACTTTTCTTCATTATTTTTAGGCTTACAATCAGCTTCCGAAGTGTGTTCCACACCGAAACACCCTGTATAATTGTTTTACCTAAATTTTACAATAATCTGAGTATACTCGACATTACACAAAACAAAAAAATTCCAGCTTTTCGCGATGAATATACTCGACACAAACGCTTAGAAGGTTTAAAAATACACTGTTTCACGTCTGAAAATTATAAACGTCGCTTTGACCATTTTTGGTAGTTCCAGAGTTAACATTGTCGAGCGATTGTGATCGTTCACGTAAATGCACACGTCGCGAAGACGTCCGAGCCCGCGGTGAAAGTACGAAAAGACAGTGCTCCGGAATTTGTACGATAAACAACAGAGCGGAGGTTTTCGCTGCAATTGAGCAGCAGCAAGAGAGTTCAACGCTCGTTCGTCGAAGGGACGTTAGGCTCGTTTCGTTTGCGCAACGCTGTTACGTACGGCATAATTTGATATTAATGCCGGTATTCATGCCACTGTAACAGAAGCGTGTTCGCTTTCCTTCTTTTCATCCAGCAGACTTTGATTCCCGCCAGTTTTCTTGCCCCTCGATGATCGACATTGGCAGTCTGGTAACTTGCTTTCTTTCGATTTCGTAATCGCCATAAATAACACAGTCGCGTTCTGTATAATACACAGGTTCTGTACCACGGAACGAACTTTTTTTTTTTTTTTTCACGAAACGAACGCTTTTCAAGGGGAGTAATCACGATCTTTAAGTTACTTTCCTTTGTATTCACTGACTCGAGGAATAAATAACTTTGAAAGAGCAAAGAGCTCTTTAATAATTAAAAGGCTCTTTGATGATTTTCTTTTATAGTAATTATGATGGGATGTGTAATATATAACGTAATATGGAGAAATTAAAAATATTTTATTGAAAGTGGATGGAAAATAAATCAGCAAACCTGGTGCATCTGGGAGCAATTTTTATTTCAATTCAATTTATTTTTATTAAATTTTGGTTATTTTGATTTAATTTAATTTATGTTCAATTCAATTTGAAAAATTCGTTTCAATTCGAAAAGTGACTGCTGTCGAGATCTTTCTGACAAACAGTGTTGGCATGGTAGATGAATGTAAATATGAAGAAAATCTGTCAGCGAAGTTCTTCCGTTCACCGTAAGGGAACGACACTTTGCTAGCAGAGACTGGCTGCGAGTAGCGCCTGACTAATGATTGCCAGCTCTACTGCGGTGCATGGAAGCATACACGTGAGTTGAGGAAAATGATTAACCCTCTGAATTATAATACTCGTGGTAGAAATTATGTTTCTGATTTAAAAAAGGAAAAAGCAAAATCCTTTGGAATATGAATTTGACTTTTCAATTTTAATTGAACACTTCAGACTGGAGATTAACAAATACAAATTGTATGTGTTACAATTGTATAACTGTACAATAATAATACTAATATACTGACGACAATTAATGTTTACTATCAAGTAGAAAATCACAGGTGAATTTAATTTTACTTTATTCTCGTTTCTTCAAAATTTCTCAGTGACAACAAGACTTTGTAAATAAAAAAATGTTCTCATTAAATAGTCTGTCTGTCAAAAGTAAATCAGTTTAACGATAACTAAAAACTTAGTGATATCTATCAAAAGTAACTTATTAATTTAATAATAATAATTATCCGATATTGAATCTCGTCAGAAAAAAGAAAAAAAAGAAATGAAAATGACAAGATAAGAACGACGTTGCATATTCACGCAATTACTTTAACGACTCGTCTGCTGGTTTATTACCGGAACGCGCATGGCGTGTCGTGACTGCCGATACTTAAGCCGCTTGTGTCTTCCGTTAATTCGCAAATCTCGATTACCGCCCTATTCGAACGCGCGGCACAAATTCTCGATTACCAGAATCGTCGAGCAGTTCTGCAGTCGTTACCGATGATATACGAAATTAAAACGTCGCATAAAATAAACGCGCTGTATAACGAAAGGGCCATTATTACGCCCCTCGGCTCTTTCGCCCGCGCTATCATGTATTTGGCAAATATTTCTCGATGGAATATCTCTCGCAGAATTGTAAATATCAAGGTATTTGGTTGTTGAGGAGCGAGCTGAGCAAATTTAAGGGACTGTGATGTACGATCCCGAGACACGTTTCGGCTGCGGGTGCCGTTTACCGAAACGGAGAAACAGAGTGGCCATTTCTATTTGTTTTACGACCTTCTTCGACGTACATCTTCCGAGGGAATTTCAACGTTTCGAAGGAATTTCATCCTGCAATTAATTGCATACCATCGGAGGGATCAGAGGGAGGAAACAGTGAATGGATTATGGTTTCGCGAATGTATTTGTGAAGAATTATGTTTAGAAACTCGTGGTTTATGCGAGGATTTTAAACGCAGGATATTCCAGCGAGTAGCGTTTTAAATAAGCGTTTTATTAGGGGAGCGTCTAAATGCTGAAATTAATGCCAGAAATAATGAGATTCTAAGTATACGCCTAAAAAAGAAATCCTCCCTTCGTCACAAATTAGTTGTCACATTTGGTAAATGTCCAAGAATAATTTTCACACGTATAAAAAAAAGTAAAATATAAACAAAGTTTGACAAAAATGGA